GGGTGCAGGATGCTTCAAAGCAGCTCTTGATAAAGTATCTCCCAGGTACATATACTTGCCCTTCTTGCACACCACCGTGAGCTTGAATGACTGAAACTGAAGCATCATGCACTGCAAGCGCTTGGGGGCACTATTTAACAGTTTTTTTGAAGATGCTTTCAAGCGGTTGATGGTCTGAATGGACTACAACATCTTGCTTGCCATACAGGTACTGGTAGAACTTAGTGCATGCTACTTTGATGGCCAAACACTCATTTTCAGTAGGGGCATAGTTTATTTCAGTGGCTGACAATGTGAAGCTGGTGAAAGCCACAGGTTGTCCCTCTTGTAACAGTGCTCCTCCCAAACCAGTGTCACTGGGATCTACTTGCAACACATGGTTTGTTCACATCAAAAAAAACTTCGATGTCGTTGCATTGGTGATCACATGCTTGGCTTCTTTGAAGGCTTGGTCATGCTGCAAGGACCACAACCAGACCGCATTGATGTGCATTAACTCGGTAAGTGGTGTCACAATCTCAGCAAGATTCGGTGTGAACCGTGACAAAATTATAGTTGCACATACCCAGGAAATGGTGAACCCCCTTAATTAACATCTTGAGGTGGATTCATGCCAACAATGGCTTGGACACGATCAGGATGTGGAGAAATCCCAGTCCCACTGAGGAGATGTCCCATCCAGGTAACTTGCTTGACTTTAAATTGAAATTTCTTGGGGTTTAACTTAAGGTTTACTTCTTTGCAGTGCAACATTAAGTTCCATAAGTTCATGTCATGATCCTTTTCTGGCTCCTCAACAGTTTCTCTACTTCCAAGTGACCTCCTTTATCACTGCTTCTTGAACTTGATACATTGGCTTTGCTGGACCTCTTCCCTTGATTTCGGAGTTCAAAAAGTGTAAATACTAGTCAGTACTTCAAAGCAGTCCTGAGACCAGTACATGACAATTGGTAGAAGGTAATTTATGCCTGTGAAAATGAAAATACTGAAGTAAGCCTTCATCTTGTGATTCATTTTCTCCTTAATACAAACTTTAGTGATATTCCAATCAATGGCTTTTCAATGCCAATTTACAAAAAATGAAAAATTCACAAATATAGGGTCATCTTCAAATCAAATTTCAACTTCAACTTTGAGTTTTAGCATTCATCAATAAATTTCTTTATCAAGATAGGCATGAGCTTCTTTTAAAAGAAGAAATATTTAAAATAGTTTTAAAGAGTGTCTAAAGAGTTCCAAATCTTAGCTGTTCTGTATAAGAATGTATGTTGGCCACTTGTTGTTCAATATTAATTTTATTGATGTGAAGATCTTCGTTATTCCTTGTTGTGTAATTGTGTGTATCCTTTATTTTACTGAACTTTTAATTAGCAGTTAGAACATGTGGACACTATGATTGTATTATTAATCTTTCCATAGTTCATAGCAAACATTACAATATCAGTAGTACTTGACCAGATGGCTGAACAGTAATCTGTCTTAATCATCACAAGAGCATTGATGATGACTGACAGTCATTCTTTGTTGAATGCATGTCAACACAATTTATTTTACTAAAGTTTGCAATACAAGAAGATGATAGCTGTTGTACATGATCAGGTTTTTGTAGAAGTTCCCTCCCTTCCTTCTCTCCTCAGGAGGAGGGGACGCCTTCACGTAGGCTTTGTTTTGAATTGTTTCCTCCCCCCTTTTATTTATTTGCCAAATATATATGCGTCTAGCTTTGGCAGTTCAACAATAATATAACCATGAGTTGTCCTTTGCTTAGGATGCAAAATTTTACACATACGTAAGGACACTTCATCTTTGGCGGATTGTTTAGTGTTTCAGCTGAAAGACTAAACAATCCGCCATGTTGACAACATTTAAACAACCTGAGGAAGACCAGTAAAACTGGTCAAAATGTGTC